CATATGCATGTACGTTTGGAAATTTCTTCAACAGTGTCGTTGCTTATTCTTTGCATGAAAGTCCATCTGTCCGTCTGTGGTAATCAGTCTGGCCTCCGAACGAATTGAAGTAGGCTGATAAAATTGTGCTCAAATGTGTGTTTCGTCTGCAGGACTTTTGGAACTGAAAATGGGCTGTATAGGTCCACGTTTAGTTATAGCTCCCATATATGTGTCCCTCTTTATATCCGGTATTTTGATGATTTTGGTGACATTATTCACCGGAATTGTTTCAAATTTCGTATTTGAAGTTACTACAGCCCATGTCAGAAAGTTGTATATGCAGATACATGCCTTCGTATAGCCCCCATATAACGGTATTCGGTATTTTGATGAGTTTAGAGAAATTATTCATCGGAATTCTTTCAATTTTCGTATTTAAATTTCCTAATGTGTTACTTCCTTAACTTTATATGAAATATGTGATAATTTTTAGACAATGTTAAAATGTTTCGTTAGGTAGCAGATGTAGTTGACCGATGTATTCCAATTCCAAATTACAAGAAAATCGAACATTTATCTCCAATTTTATGCGAAATCGTAAACTTCGAATTTATCTCAGGTTTTTAGTTGTGAAAAATATTGAGATATAGGAAGTTGTAAAAAATCGCTGACTTGTTTTGCAAGTTATGACAGATAAAAGTATTGACAATTGTGACCCTTTGTGGGTGAGGTATCAGAAGGGGTTCGCAGGGTTTCGCGTTTTATGAGCTTCATGGATATTCAAAATTTTTACCCTTTGTGGGAGATAAATTTCATCTTTACAGCAGATATTGTATTATTAGAAATAATACGATATGTGAAACATTAAGAGAACCAGATGCTTATTTCAGATTTTATAACAGGTTTCGTTAATCAAAACTTTGACCTTTTTGGGTAAGGTATCAGGAGGAATGGTCCGATCTTTACCATCTTTGTAACCGATCTTGTGTTTGTAGAAATAGTTCAATATGTGATGTTAAGAATGAACCAGATGCTTATTTAGTATTTATACCCTACACCACAAGGTCAGGGTATTATATCTTTGTGCATTTTTTTGTAACAGGCAAAAGGAAACGAGATAGACCCATAGTTCCCTTTGATGATATGCATAGAATCACATTCTGAGCCGATTTATGCATGTCCGTCCGTCCCTCCATCTGTCCATGTATTTTTGTAAACAAAGTAAAGTTCGCATTTATTGTCCTATCCAGATGAAATTTTGCACAAATCATTTGTTTGGTCCAAGGACGAACCTTATTGAAATTGGAGATAATCGGTCAAAATTTAGATATAGCTCCCATATATATCTTCGTCCGATTTGCCTTTTATTGTGCACCAAACGTGTAATATCTGTCCGAATTGTATGGAATTTTGCACGTACGATCAGATTGGACCTGAAAATAAGTATGCCAAATTTGATCGAAATCGGTTCAGATATAGCTATAGCTCCTATATATATATTTTTCATCCGATTTGTTATTTTCGTCCTCCGCAGCCGTAATATGCACTCCGTAACAACGATATTCAGGGAGATATATCAAATACAGCTCAGGAATATCTTTGCCAACTTTTATCGAGATCGGTTCAGATTTGGATATAGCTCCCATATATATCTTTACCCGATTTCAAATAAATTTTGCACCAAATGGGCAATACAAGTCCGAATTTAAAAGATACAAATGCTTCGGCATATTTATTCCCTTGAACTTTAAATTACAATTATAATCATAGCGTGTATGATTAAATTTTCCCATAAAATCTTTTAATTGTTATGTGGAGCTCAAGTAAATTGACAAAGTGGTGTAGGGTATCATAAAATCGGCCCGGCGGACTTTAGGACTTTCTTTGCTGGTTAAATTTTGAATTATTTTTGGGAAATAAAAAAAATATTTTGCTTGAAATTCAATATACATTCCTACCAGCATAAATTATTTAAAGAATTCTCTGCCTAGTGCAAGAAAGACGAATGGTTGTTAAGTTCTAAATTCAGCTTTACATTTCTGTCAAAGCTACAGAATGTGTCAAAACAAAGTATAGAGTTACACATTGGTTGTATATGGGATTATTTTATATTATATTATATTAAAACTGACAGAAGTTGGGGGAGTCCTACAAAAATTAACAACTGAAAAAACAACTAAGTTCGGTCGGGCCCAACTTTTATTATGTCCATCAAGATAAATTCGTGTGCAATTAGCAAAGACACAAACCAAGATGATTTTTTTCTCCGGTTCAGAAAGGGGTAAATATAGAGAGCGAGAAAGAAAGTTAGTAAACCAGTGAAGAATTAAAGGTATCTCAATTTATTTTATTTTCATACCCTCCACCATAGTATGGAGGGTATATTAATTTTGTCATTCCGTTTTGTAACACCTCGAAATATACATTTTAGGCCCCACAAAGTATATATATTCTTGATCAGCATAAAATTCTATGTCGATTTAGCGATGTCCGCACGTCTGTGGAAATAACTCTAGCTTCCGAACGAAATGAAGCAGGTTAATAAAATTTTGCTCAAATGTATATTGTGTCTGCAGGACTTTTGGCAATGAAAATGGGACCATAACGGTACCTCCCGATATGCGGTAATTTGATGACTTTAGCGAGATTATTTACCGGAACTATTTCAAATTTAGTATTTGAAGTTCGTAATGAATGCTACAGCCTATGACAGAAAATTGTCTGTGCAGGTCCACGTCTTCGCATAGCCCCCATATAACGGTACCCCCCGATATTCGGTATTTTGATGATTTTAGCGACATTATTAACCGGAATTGTTTCAAATTAGGTATTTGAAGTTCGTAATGAATGCTACAGCCTATGACAGAAAATGAGCCATGTAGGTCCACGTCTTCGTATAGCCCCCATATAACGGTACCTCCCGATATGCGGTATTTTGATGATTTTAGCGACATTATTTACCGGAACTATTTCAAATTTAGTATTTGAAGTTCGTAATGAATGCTACAGCCTATGACAGAAAATTGTCGGAGCAGGTCCAAGTCTTCGTATAGCCCCCATGGTACCTCCCTATATTCAGTATTTTGATGATTTTAGCTACATTATAAAAATATTTTTTTCAAGTTTCGCATTTGAATATTGTAATAGCTTTTGACAAAAGGTCCACGTCGTCGTATAGACTCTAATATACGGCTACATTCGGTATTTTTAAGATTTTAACAGAATTTTTAACGGATTTTATTTTTTTTTTTTTTGAAAATTGTTAAATTTGTACCAAATGGAGGAGGGTACTCAAAGTTCGGCCCGGCCGAACTTACAGCTTTTTTACTTTTTTTTCAAATTTCAAAATTTACAAAAAAATTGCTAAATAGAAACATTATGCAGGGTGAGATGAAAAAAAACTGCAACCAACTTCAGACTGCTGTCATTCCTAAGCCACTCGTCCGACAGCTGTTAAAATGATTCCAGTCACAGCTCATTATATTGTTTACAAGTGTACAAAAGCATTTTGGTGAGAATTTTCTAGAAAAAGTGTCTTAGACCACTCCAGCATTTAAAAGTGAATAAATCTTTTGTGTCTCGTACCATTGCTCGTTATCGTGATACCGGAAGCATAGCCCGACGTCAAGGAAGTGGACGAAAGACGAAAACAGTAACATCAGCAGAAATGGTTCGAAAAGTAAAGAAGCGACTTGATCGAAACCGGGGTCGCAGTGGCCGAAAAATGGCTCGTGAGCTGAACATATCGCAATATTCCATTCGGCAAACATTGAGAAATGAGCTCGGGGTAAAGCCATTGAAATTCCAAAAAGTGCAAGAATTTACACCGCAACAGAATGAAAATAGACTTAAAAGAGCTAAAGATTTGCTTCGCTTGGCCGAAAGTGGTGAACTGCCGAATTTGGTTTTCTCCGTCTCTGATGAGAAAACATTCGTTGTCCAGCAGTTTGTAAACAAATAAAATTATCGTGTTTACTTGCCAATGAGGTCAAAGAGACAAAATGTGCACCTTTGGTTGACCACCAGAACTCAAGCATTGGTCATGGTGGTGGTGTGGACCGCCATAACAGCCGATGGTCGCTCTCCGCTCATATTAATCGACCTTGGCATCAGAATAATTTCCGAATATTATCGTGAGGGTGTATTAAAGCCCTAGGCGTGGAAACATTTTGGCCGCAGACCTTGGACATTCCAACAGGACCCTGCTCCATCGCACTCAGCACGCGCCAACCAAGAATGGTTTGCTTCATTTACAGCGCACAATGGCCACCAAAATCTCTGGATACCAAACGATTGGACTATTGTGTCTGGAGTATTTTCGAAAGCAAGGTTGGCACAAAAAATACCAAAGTGTCGATCACCTCAAGCAAGCGCTTCGCCGGGAATGGGCCAGAATACCGCAGAGCACCATTCGGGCTGCGTGTGACGGTTTCATTGGCCATTTAAAGGCCATAATTCGTACCAAAGGTGATCAATTCAAACAAATTAAAATTATTCTAACATTTGATGCTATTTCCGACATTTTTTGCTTTCATTCAATAAAATTAAAAAAAAATATATATATAAATATTATGGCGTTTGACTTTGTTGCAGTTTTTTTATCTCACCCTCGATGACCATCCAAAATTGTTTCCACCCAATCCTAGACTACTACCCGCAGCAAAATTCCATAATTGTGAGCTTTATAACCACAGTAAATTCAGGAAATTATTATGTTTTTGGTCCTAACTTTTTTGCGATCATCTCGACGTGTTATACAATCTTTGGTCCAATTAAACTTATAATTCTCTCTCTCTCCCACAACTTAGGGTATAGGAAGAGTTTTAAAGAAATTATATATAGCTGGAAAAATGTATCTCATACTCATCCACAGTAAAACTATTTCATTGGAGATGATTACAATTGTGTCACTTTCGTTCAGTATTTAGAGACTGAACTTAAATTGTAAAAATCATAAAAATGTTATACCTTATAAATTTATAATTTAATTGTTTTCCCTCTCTCTTTTTTCGTTGCAGACCAAATGTTCAGTATTTCGTGGTTTAGTACTGTGCCTTTGCTTGAACGTCACCTATGCCAACGTCGTTCGCTTCCCACGGGAATTGGATAAATATGGTCTGGCATATATGATACCATATATTTTACTACTATTTCTAGTCGGTCTGCCCATTGTCTTGTTGGAAATATCGGTGGGGCAGTTTTTGGGACAGGGAGCAGCGCACACATGGCGGGCATCTCCGATATTTAAAGGTGAGTGAGTTTTTGATTCCCACATCTGCAGTGAACAAAAAATAATTGAAGAAATAAGTAAATGAATACAAACATAAATAAAAATAGAAAATAAATAATAAACAATAAATAATAAACAAAAAATGTGATAATAATAATAATAATAATAATAATAATAATAATAATAATAATAATAATAATAATAATAATAATAATAATAATAATAATAATAATAATAATAATAATAATAATAATAATAATAATAATAATAATAATAATAATAATAATAATAATAATAATAATAATAATAATAATAATAATAATAATAATAATAATAACAATAAGAATAACAATAAAAATAATAATAATTATAATAATCACCACTTAATACCACTTAATTATAGCAAAGCCAACAACACTTATCGTAAAATTTCAATAAAGCAATAGAAACTTCAAATTACGTTCAGCTATTTAGTTAAATACGATAAATAATAATAATTATAATAATCACCACTTAATACCACTTAATTATAGCAAAGCCAACAACACTTATCGTAAAATTTCAATAAAGCAATAGAAACTTCAAATTACGTTCAGCTATTTAGTTAAATACGATAAATAATATGTGTGCTATTCAGTCATCCTAAAAGTATGCTTTATCTTTGTTTGTAAACATGCGAGGAAGAAATTGAGTATGCCTATAATTGTAGACGCAAGATGGCGCTTTGTTATAAACATTCAGATTGTATCGTATGTTTAAATTAACTTACATTACGATATTAAATGAATGAATTGCTATTAACTTCTGTATCTTCTTTTACTAGTACAATTTAATAACCTTGAAAATGGTAATGTGATTGGTTTAACTATTTATTTAAATTGAACATTTACTAAGCTTTTATAATAATATATAATAAACATTGATAAGATGAATAAGTTTTTCAAGCTGGAGGTCTAATTTTGTTGAGAATAGTTATTGATTTAAATATAAACATTTAATGATAAACATTAAAATGTTATATGGCTTTTGTATATATTCCATCCAACGGGCCAATCTCCCCGATATTATTAATATTTTAAATATATCTTCTTGTTTTTAAGGCGCCTGTATAATCAGTCGATTTGCCTCATGGATATCAACGGTGTGGATATCACTGCAAGCTGTAATGTCCATTGGTTACATCGGAATGTTCTCATTCAATACGATGCCATTTCGGGAATGCGTCGGTAATATACGACTCCTATCGGTATGATGCAATGACATATGTTCTAGAGAAATTTTAATTAATATTTTATTTTCCTTTCGTTTTGCAGGATCGTTATATGCTCACGAACAACAGCGCCCAAGAATGTATGCAGAAAACATTTTTAATACCATTTTGGGAGAATCCCTTCTATTTTGGTCTACTATCGATCGGCTTGGTTGTTGTGTGGATGATCGTTATGTTCTGGTAAGATAATGTGTATGTGTATATATTTAAAAGTGTAGTGAAATAACTGACTGACTGAGAATAGAAACAAAGCTAAAATCTTGAAATTCTGTATGAGGGTCAGTCTTGGTGTGTAGGCATGTGATAAGGCTGGATTTTTGGAAATTCGTAATAAAAGGACACGAAAAGTGCTAAAGCGTACTAAAAATTTAATACTTTGTATTGGACAATGAACTAGAGCTTTGAAATTTGGAATAAGAGTCACTGATAGAGTTCAGGATAGATGTACCAAAGCGTTTTTGGAAATCGAACTTCTAAAATGGTACCATTTGGTATAATGTGAAGGGATAGTGCTAAAAACTTGAAATTTGGTATGCGAATCAAGGAAAGTAAGCTTGTTTTTTTGGTTTCTGAAATGTGTGCTAAGTGTGCAAACTGTACTAGATGGTACTAAATTAGGGACAGTTTGATTTAGGCCGAAAGGATAAAGCCGGAAATTGACATTTTGTATTGGGGTCCCCACTGGGTGGTATGTTTGTGATAAAGAGATGCACTACAAGTGCACTAAAAGTACAACATAGTACTATATTTGGTACCATTTGGTAATGGGTGAACAGTTAGTGCTTGAAGTCTGGAATTTGATGTTAGAGTCGGTTTTCGAAATGTGTACTAAATTGTATGACAAGTACTGAATGGTACTAAATTTTGTATAAGGCGAAGGGATAGAGCTGAAATCCCGAAATTTGATAATGAGGTATCTCTTGGTATCTGCATTTGAGACATGGAGGTGTTCTTGGAAATGTGTAGTACAATTGTATGAAAAGTACTGAATTGGGTATTAGCTGAAGGGATAGAGCTGGAATGTCGAAAGTAAGGTATATTGAGGTCTGTGTTGGTATCTGGTATTGAAATATGTATGAAAAGCACTAAGTGGTACTAAATTTAGTGTTGGAGGTGGTTTAGGAAATGTGGACTAAAGTTGTACCAAAAGTAATAAATACAGGGTGAGATAAAAAACTGCAACAAAGTCAAACGCCATAATTTTTAATTTTTTTTTTAAATTTTATTGAATGAAAGCAAAATATGTCGGAAATAGCATCAACGTTTAGAATAAGTTTAGATTTGCTCGAATTGGTCACCTTAGGCACGAATTATGGTCTTCAAACGACCAATGAAACCGTCAGACGCAGCCCGAATGTTGCTCTGCGGTATTTTGTTCTATTTCCGGCGAAGCGCTTGCTTGAGGGGATCGACACTTTGGCATTTTTTAGTGCCAATAGTCACAATACTCCAACGGATGGGTGTCCGTAGATTTGGGTGGCCATTGTGTGCTGGAAATGAAGCGAGGAACCTCATTTTGTAACCATTCTGGGGTGGGGCGTGCTGAGGCGATGGTGCTGAGCCCTGTTGGAATGTACAAGGTCTGCGGCCAAAATGTTTGCGTGCCCAAGGCTTTCCAGAATATTTTCGCGATAATATTCGGAATTTAGTCTGATGCCGCGGTCGATTAATACGAGCAGAGAGCCACCATCGGCTGTTGTGGCGGCCCATACCATCACCATGGCCCGCGGTCTACTTTTTTTCTGTTGCGGTGTAAGTTCTTATTTTTTTTTTTTGGAATTTCAATGGCTTTACCCCGAGCTCATCTTTCAATATTTTCCGAATGGAATGTTGCGATATGTTCAGCTCACGAGCCATTTTTCGGCCACTGCGACGCGGATTTCGATCTAGTCGCTTCTTTACTTTTCGAACCATTTCTGCTGATGTTGCAGTTTTATTCGTCCAGTTCCTTGACGCACAAAAGATTTATTCACATTTAAATGCTTAAATGCTCCAACGATAGCCACTTGTGGTTTTCCAGCCAAATATAAAGAAATCACACTGTTACGCTTGAATTCCATAACAAATAACTTTTTTTCTGGAAAATTCTCACCAAAATGCTTTTGTACGCTTGTAAACAATATAATGAGCTGTCACTGGGATAATTTTAACAGCTGTCGGACGATTGGCTTAGAAATGACAGCAATCTGAAGTTGGTTGCAGTTTTTTCATCTCACCCTGTATTTATCTCGAAAGGTATACTTTTAGGCATATTTTACATACACCTTTTCCCATTTTTAAGGTTCCACTCGACTTTCTGATTCGACACAAAGGATTTTTTTTTGCACTAGGAACTTTGCCTGGGATTTTGGGTTCACTAATAAAGCTCTGTGAAAAATATGACCAACATAGACCATAATTTTGGTATAGACCCACACAGCGGTACTCCTCGATTTGAAGTAATTTAGAAATTTCGGGGAACTTTTTGCCAGATACCGTTTAATGTCCTTAAATAAAAAGTTTCTAAGATTCAGATAAAAAAAATAATTTTCATGTTCCTTTGTCTTTCCAGCACCCACAATGGACGCGTACTGCGACGAGTTCTATTCACTTTGGGTCTGCTGGGCTTTGCATTGCTGTGCTGCCTCACATCATGGGAGGTACACAATACCCTACATCGTTCCGTGCCCTATTTTCCCGAGCTGTGGCAGTTCACCGAGAAATATCTACTCGAAAGTAATCTCTGGTTCAATGCCCTAATGCAGGTGATTTTCTCTTTGAATTGTGGCCTGGGAGTGCTGCCAATGGTCACTGGGAAATTTCTCTACAAAGGTGATGCGGTACGAACATCGGTGGTGTATTTATGTTTCAATTTGCTGATCAATGCCATATCGGTGACGCTGTTTATGATACAATTTGATCATTCCGCCAATGGGGCATATTTGATTGATGAATTGAAGCCATTGACGGCCATTTACGATAGGATTTTATATGACACACCGAAATATGCCTTGTGGATTAAACTGCTACCATCCTTGGTCAATGGTTTGGTGGTGGTGGCCTGTTTGGTCTCAATTGTGGTGGGGGTTTACACCAGTACCCGGTTGGTACCACGTCATCCCAATTATGTCATAAGTCTGGTGGGTTTGGTGGCGGCCATAATTTCCCTCTCCTCGCCGAATTTCTATGTGGCGAGGCTGTTGGATTCACGAGTGGTTGGCACAATGGTGGTGACGGCCTTGGTGTTTGAGCTAATAGCTCTGACATGGATATATGGAGTAAAGAATATCTATACTGATTTGGAGTTCTCCATAGGTCGGCCAATTTTCAAAATATGGTTGGGCTTGTGGTGTATATGCCCGGCAATTTTAACGGGACTCCTTGTGTGGTGGTGTTCCGATGATGATCAAAATGATGTGCTGCCCACCATAATGCCACGTTGGGCGCCAATATTGTTTGTCATCTTTGTGATTATGTTGATAGCCTGTGTGCAGATATTCCGCCAGGTGGAATATAATTTCTTTGGCATGATCTGTGAGGCATCCAAATCGGCCAAGGAATGGGGACCGGCAGATCCCTTGGCCCGCCATGCCTGGAAACAGTGGCGTTCTGTGTGCCAAGATACAGGTCAGAGGGATTTCACCCTGAGACGTCGTGGCACCCGTGACTATACCCATTCCATTAAGAAAGGCCAATATTCAACATCGGGCAAGTATGCCAATGGCCAGGCCAATGCAGCGCAGCAGCACTGGAAATCTTCGACACCGGGTAACAGTTCGCCCAACTACAGTGGTTCGGTGTTTGGTGACTCAGCCATAGAGGAGGATATCAGTGTGGATAAGTTTCCGGGGATTTCCCAGCAATTTGTGCCATTTCACAACAATGACAATCACAAACCTCTCCGCTATTCGCATAGATCCCGAAATCAGCAACAAGCCCCACCACCCCCGCCTCCTTCGCAGCAGCAAAAAATCAATGTCAATGGCTATGCCAATCATCACCAGCATCAACAACAGATGGCGCATCATATGCCGGGCGGACAAGTAGAATTGCGCAGCTCCAATCCGGATACCCCCAAACATCGAGAAATTGTCTATATTAGACGTATGTCCTCCGAGGAAGGTCCGCATGCAACACGCATCGAAATCACACCATCCAATGAATCCATATCATATGCCACAACGCGAAATCACTCCACATCAAGGACAAGTGGTCCACATGAGGATGTGACCAGCTCGGCTTTGCATCATCAACCACAGGCCAAACGTAGCTCCCAAAATGCCAATAAATTGGAAAGTAATCGAAATTCTTCCTCGAAATTGCCACCAACCATTTCTGATGATAATGGTGATCACATATGTTGGCGCAAGTTTTCCATGAATCCTCAAGAGTATTCAACGGAATTGTGATTTTCTCCCCACTTTTGTTTTTCCACTAAAAAATGAAAAAAAAGTTGTAAAAAAACAAAACATCAACGAATCTAGTTTATTATTATTTTTTTTATATAGAAATCCATATTTTATATGAAAAGTCGTCATTCCAATAGAATTGTATATAAGTAAGATTAAGTCGATTTAAGAAAAAAACAATAAATAAATAAGAATTGAATATACCACCTAGAAATTTTGAATGTAAAAGCGTATTCCACATCAAAGATAATAAAAAATAAAGACTTTTCTTTTTCGCGATAATATGTCGTCTAAAAAGGAACATATCAGAAAAGCAAATCACTTAGCAGTCGAATAGAATAGAAAATAAAAAACACATTTTTTTAAGTCGTCCTTATTTAGTCATATTTATATATGTATGTGAGTGTATATAGTTAGTCCTTTAAAAAAAAACAATTTTATATTCCCACACAAAACTCTTGGAAATGCCCAAAAACAAAAAAATTGAATTATTGTTTATTTAGGCATTTACCATAATTTTTTAATTATTATTTCGTATGTCTTATTTAATTATACCAAAATTTTGTCGTCTAATTATTTGTTAAATTGTTTCCGTTTCCCACCATTTTTTTATTTTTTCTTTCTCTCCCCTCAATTGCATTTGTTCATAAAGTTATCAATTAATTAGTGTAAATATTTAAAATTAAGTAAGCAAAACCAAAATGTCTCCCACTCTTGTTTTTTTTAAGAATATTTATAAATGAAATGTATCCATATTTGGAACTTATAATATTTAGCATATTACAACGATACATACACAATGAAAAAAAAAACATGGTCTTATTATTTTTTTGTGGCTCTCAAAATATATACTTTTTTCCTTAAGAGTAAATAAAAAAATAATAAATTAATTTTTAAAGAAGTATACATTGTGTTCTATTTACTTGCAATGAAATATTGAAAAGGTTGAGTTTTAAAATTAAAGGTGAAACTTCTGAAAACAAAGCTACCCGATTTACTAATAAGACTCAATAATTATACCTACAAGGGTCTAGTAAGTATAATTATCGAGTCTTCTTAGTAAATCAGCTAGTTATTAAGATTATGGATATAGGAGACCTTAAAGCTAAGCACATGGGATTTCAAGATTTTTTAAAATTTCTGATTGAAATTACTTTAAAACAAGTAAGCAAAGGCTACAGCCGAGCGGGGCCGACCGTTGAATACCCTACAACACTATAATAAACGATACAGTTTATATAGGCGAGATACTCGGAAGAATTCCACAAGATATTGTGACAAATAATAAAAGGTTTCGTTCTCTAATTTTCGAACAAAAGCAACTTTAACTAAGTCGCTCATTTCCAATTTATTGGAAGATGTTGCACGTAAATGGTCTTCCTAGATCTGGAACCAATATTTCCCAAACACCTTTAATCTCTCAGAAGTGGCAAAAGATTAACATTTATTATTGGTTTTTGACTGAAACGCATCTATATGAGATACAGACATTTGACTATATTCTTCAACGAAATCAGCGTTAACGAAATAGTCGAAAGTGCGTCTTTCCTGTATTTGTGAATTCTCCAAAAAAGTCACTGGAATGGACATTTTCGTATTTTGTCTACAAAAGTTGGCAAACTATTTCACACATTGAATATTTTTGGAAACTGCTTGGCTTTTTGCAATGCCCGTAACCCCCATTCAAATGTGCGTGAGGATCGGGCGATAATTACGGCCTGCTGATAATTTTGCAGTTTTTTGGTCCATTTCAACCCCTAAATATATGGCGATCATCTCCAAAAAGAGTAGGCTTCTATTCTGACCCATCTGATCCCCATGCAAAATTTCGTTAAGATCGGGCCATAAATGCGATCTGTATATGATATCCTGATATCCTAACTACTTAGTTTTGTTAGATGTAGAAATATTACCAAATGTTTAATTCAAAATGAAAATATGCCAAAAATATGACAAAATTGAAAAAATATGAGAAAATTTTACAAAATCAATATTTTCATCATTAGAGAGATATTTTTATTTGATTTTTTAGACGTTGATTCTTTCCTGCCAAGAGGCCATTTTGAATTAATGAGAACTGTCGAAATCAGTTCAGCCGTTCTCGACATAGAAGAGATCTTTCAAGCATATCTTCTTTGATAGACATATATATCGCACATATTTTGCTATATATCCGATTTGTTGGATGTTAACATCAATGTAAAGATCAGAAGTAACTTTGTCATGGCTTTGTGATTTCGCCGCGATTTAAAATATTCGCGGTTTAATGAAAAATTTTAAATTTTTTCAACACAAAAGATAGGGTCTATTTTACCCGCTAAATATTATCCGATGACCACCCAAATTGGTAGGCTTCTTCCCCGCCCTAAACTCTAGCTACATGCGAAGTTCCGCGTCGATTGGTCTATAATTGCGACCTGTATAGCTACTGCAAAATCCGATATTTTTTCAATTTTTGGTCCATTTCGACCCCTAAATATTATGCGATCATCTCCAAAAGAAATAGGGTTCTATTCTGACCCTAGCCCCACCTCCATTCTAAATTTCGTGAAGATCGGGTCATAATTGCGACCTGCAGAGTGATTACAAATTAACATGGACAGACGGACAGACGGACAGACGGACGAACGGACATACATAGCTAGATCGACTCAACTCGGCGAGATAGGAAGATCCATATATACTTTCCTATGTGGGAAATCAATATTTCGAGGTGTTACATAATTTTTGGCCCAATCAAACTTATAATACCCCCAACACATAGTGTTGTAGGGTATAACAGATCCTAACATTGGCAGGACTATTTTGGTTCCAATTTTGGACAAAATTGGGTATTCATTTCGAGTATACCAGACAGAAAGACGGACGGACATACAGATGTGGGTAGATCGACTCCTGTCCTGAAACAGAGTTTATCCAAAGAGACATAGTTATAAAGTCCCATAGGGACTATGAAAGTAGAGCCCAAAATAGAAGACACATGTATCAGCGATTTTAAAGTTCATCTCAAATTAATTTAAATCTTCTAGATTTTTTGGTAATAATACGAAGATTATTTGATCGACAGTTTTAACCTTCAAGCGAGTTAACAAAGGCAACGTTATGGTCTATTTTTTTTAATTTTGCACGTTTAAGGCATAATTGAATCAATCCAAAGCTCTTTATTAAATGTTGCGAAATTTGGCTTACAATCTTGGTATTCTTAATCTCTTTTGGAGTTTTGATCTACAAGACTGGCACTGCTCGGTTTGGAATTTTCCACAAGTTAAGTTATTAGAAAATTTGTAGCGAATTTACAACGTACTTATTTTGTCACAAAGGGGGTTTTTATAAACCAAAATTGATGATGCGTGTGTATGGTAAATATTAAGCATACACAGGCAGCGCAGTTGCCTTAAGGCGACTTCTCCACTCGGAGACCTGCCATCATTATGTTCATCCTAAATTTGAAAAAAGAGAAGATAACAAGTAATAAAGCAGCTATGTTCGCCGGGTTGAACTTTTCATATCCTCCACGATTTGTTAGGAAATTGGAAACTTTCAACAAGTTAAAAAGCAGTACGTTTGATCAGGTCGAACTTTGAATACCCTCCACCATTTGGTACAAATTTCACAAAATTTTCAAAAAAAAAGGTCGTTAAAAATTTAGTACAAATTTGGCAATTTTCAAAAAAATACCGAGTGTAGCCGTATATTAGGGTCTGTAGAGTGATTTCCACAGACGGACATCACTAAATCCACATAGAATTTTATGCTGATCAAGAATATATATACTTTGTGGGACTAAAATGTATGTTTCGAGGTGTTACAAACGGAATGACAAACTTAATATACCCTCCATACTATGGTGGAGGGTATAAAAATACGAAGATTTAAATTAATCCGCGTATATTTTTAATCCCGACCAAATCACAAATCCAAGATATGGGATATTTAAGTATTAAATATATAGATCTCAGTCATAATGCTTATAAGTCAAGAACCGCTGGACTGATTTTCACAATTCTCATCAATTCGGAATATTCTCTTGCCAGAAAAAAAAAATTAAATCTAAGAAAATCGCGTAGGAATATGCCAATTAAAATATGCCAATTTGTAACATTTTTTTTTCAATCTTTGTCATATTTTTTATCCGATGCGATTTTTATACCCTACACCGCATAGTGGTAAGGGTATTATGTCTTAGTGCATTTGTTTGTAACATGGAGAAGGAAGCGAGATAGTTGTGTACAGAAAAATTGGATGTGGGTCCATTGTGCAATTGTTTCATTAATTTCTTCCTCGGTTCAAAATGAAAGATTCCGAAGACATTTTTGTGTAAAATGTAAGCATATAATGAAGGGTAGATATACTCAAACATTTCTTCCTCCAAAAAGTTTTAAATAAGAATAAATAAGAATTCATTTCTGCTGCAATCGAAAAATATTAAAATTTTTAGTTGGCCTATTCAGCATTGAAACGTTTGTTTACATTTTACGGGGCTTCTGAACTTCTTCAAACTATTTCACATGACCAACACTAGAGTTCTGGCTTTATTCTCCACATATTAATGGAACCTTATAAATACCAATTTAAATAAAACCTACCAGCTTCCTGTGGCCAAAATTTACCACCATGGAAATTTTCTGAAGATTCCTATTGCGGCCATTCCGCGTTAGGCGTTAATGTGATATTAATCTACATAAAGTAGCAATATTTGATATTGATATTTCTTTGAACATTTTTTGTTGATAAATATTCATGGAGGAATATTGATTTTTGATTTGCGATCACATTTAAAATACATTTAATACGACAGCTATGACAGCTGCTGAACGTAGCATAGTTATTTTCGACTATGTGTCCTTGTATTAACACAAAAATATTTCGGTCATTGTTCTGGCTCTAGAAAAAAAAATAGGAAATAAATGCTATGATAACATATTTAACATATATCTATGTGTGTATTTTGAGTTTTAATAATTTCTGACGTAAATAAAAATGAAATGATTTTAAAAAGAAGTTGCTATTTGTAAACAGTTTGACGAAAATAAAATCAAAGTCAAGCCGACTTTACGATCGAATTCTTAAATCATTTAATTTCAAACATTTTTTTAGCGCTTCAAAGTTTACATCACAAAGAAACCTAAATAGAGGGGACACACTCCCCACTCGTCCACATTTTATACCCTCCACCATACTATGGAGGGTATATTAACTTTGTCATTCCGTTTGTAACTGCTCGAATCAGCGAAAAATTCCAAGTCGATCGATAATCATCGGAATTGTTTCAAATTTGGTATTTGAAGTTCGTAATGGATACTACATCCTGTGACAACAAATTGTCTGTGCAGGTCCACGCTTTCGTATAGCTCCCATATAACGGTACCTCCCATTATTCGATACTTTAATGATTTGAGCGGCATTATTCACCGGAAAAGTTCCAAATTCGGTAT